TTGCCCATATAAGGGCTCCCCTACAACACATGGGAAGACGGGAGCAGCTGGGGCCCAGTCAGGAGATCACTGCACTGCCCTTCTTGGTGACCAGAAGAGAATGGGCGATATTTATAATTCATGCAGCTCTGGAGAGGCCCTCTTTCATTGGGATCAGACAACACCCACCCATGAACTGGGTAAAAGGGCTGGACTCCCTGTTTACACACTATGAGCATTATGCTAGTTGCCTTTTTCCTTGGGGGGGGCGGGCAGGAAGGAATTGTTCCCTCCCCACCACACTGGCAGAGGTGGGGTGGGGTTTTTTTGCCTTTTCCATAGCAGTTCCAGGACCTGGTAGGATGGAGTAGGCGGGTTAGATTATAATGTCACAAGTTAAGAGGCAAAACTTGTGGTGGATGTCCAGTGCAGGAACTTGGTATGGAAGAGATACGGTTATCGAAAACAATGAATTGGAAACGGAAGTAAAAAGAAAGCATCCCTTAAGGGATCTGAGTAAGAGAGGGACTACAATTCCTATGTCTCATGCAACAGGGAGCCAATCCTCCTCCTGCTTTTTTAGCCCCTTAAACCTCTTAAAAGGGGAGGGCGATGGGGTCTCACCAGCAGGATGACTGGCAGGTTGGAGATTATGTGGAAATGATTAAGAAAATGATGATGACCTGCACTGTACAATTTATTGCCAAATATTACCAGATATTTTAAGTGAATAAAGTCGGCCTAATGAACCCACAACTATTGCCTCCTGACTTTCTTGCAGCATGGCCAGACAATGAATGATTCAGCCCTGGGATACATTGGACCCCAGCATCTAAATGTCTCTTTGGACAGGGAATTAGAGTGACACAAAACATCCCAAAGCCCCTGCTTCATTTTTGAGGTGAGGAAGGGCTGAAGCCACCTAATACAGCCCCACAGGCAATTGGTGCTAGCTAGGAAGGGGTTAGAGTGGTCAGGACATAAACTGATGCAGCATCTCTTGGGGACCCTCCATTAGGTCCTAAGTTAAAACGGTCTTCCCTGAGCAGAACCCTCAAGGAATACATTGGTTTTGCCCTTCAAGACTTCAACCTTCCCACACCCACCCCTGTTCAATCTCTTTCCAGCTTGCTATCTGTACTGATCTTTCCCCAGCCATTAGCTCTATTCTGGAACACTAAACACTATTTTTATTAGTAATTAAGTTTCAATTTATGTAATATGCTTCTTCCTTCCTGTCCTAAAATTGGTGGCTAGGGTTGCTATGTGCAACTTAAACAGCTGCCACCTTCCATCCCAGAGGTGGCTCCATTTATAGTCTGTATAAGATCAAACTTGTAAAGGAATTTAATATCTTTGGGGATGAAAGGCAATGTATACATAAGGTATTCTTATTTCTTTCGTTCCTTCACATTAATTACTTTTTATCTGTAAAAGTTTTGGTTCTAGAGTGCAAGAGACAAGCTTCATCTCCATTACAATTTTAGCTGCAGTCAGCCTTTTGATATTATCCATTGACTACTGGCAAAGTCATGATCATTTGGGAGGTATCCAGTTTATTTTCCTAAATTGTTAGGTGGCAAGTACATTACATTTACACAGTGTTTGTCACGTTCTTTTCGAGCAGCTGGGCCACATGAGGGATAACAGCCTACTACTGCTTCCAGCTAATGGAGTTAGTTCTTTAACCAGGGGTTTGGAGCGGAGCCTGGAGCTGGAGCGCGGAGCAGCTCCAAAGCAGTGGAGCTGCAGGTTTTTGCCTGGAGCTGGAGCGGAGTCGGAGCACAGCTCCAAAGCCCTGTCTTTAACTCCAGTCGGAGACGTCTGTGCTCTGCTGCTAGGCCATGGATTCAGACCCTGTTGACAATCCACATTGTGGGGCTTCACACAAGCAGATAGCCCAGCTGCCTCAGTGGAAATTTGGAAGCATAATGCTAAATCTAGACTACTTTTATGCCAACGCAAGAGGGTTTTCTCCAGTGCCCCAGCCTACTTTTAAACATTAGAGATCTCAGGGCAATTGAACAATTAAGGCCAACTCAAAAGCAACCAAAGGCATTCAACCACCTGACGCAAACAAAACCCACCCCAAGATATGCCCTAGCTCAGAGTAACATGCAACTAACTGCCTGCCATCTTGCTCTGCCCCACTGAGGTTTCTTACCACACTTAATATTCCCTTCTCCTGCCTGTAACTCAAACAGCTGTCAGACCCCATTAGGCATAACAGGATGCAGACAGATTCAAGATTAAGCAACTTTTTAAAAATCCAATTGAGACTTTCTTACCTTGAGGGTGCAGCAGATATTACATTAACCAGATTGCCCACACTTTCCACCTAAGAACAATTATCACATATATTGAAAATAAGTGGGGGCTTCCTGGATTCTCCCCCCCTCCCCAATCTCATAAGAACCAAGATCAATCCCCCTCCTCCCTTCCAATTCCCCTTTGTGGGGAAAAAAAGGTGTTCCCATCTGCTCCGAGCAAGATTTTATCTTGTTTGTCCGGAAGGGACCAGCCAGAGGGACAGTAATTCAATCACGTGGAGAGAGGGGGTTAAAAAGCTCCTTGGTGGATCGCCCGCAGCTTCTGCTCCAGGAGGCATTTCCAGTCCCAAAGGAAAGAAGGACTAGTGTGGTAGACCCCAGAGAGAGAGATCCCTCCTTCATTACTGCCCCCTGCCCCCCGGCTGCCAGGACATGGGACAGAGCCCTTCTCAGGGCCATCTGGTGAGTTTGCCCGCATATTTGCTTCAGGGTGCTGCAAGGTGGGGTTGGGAGTGCAGTTTCTTTATGGCTAGATTAGAAACAGGGTTTGTTTTTAATCCCGAGGTGCAGATGCTCCTAATTGAGGGGGGAAGGGGTTGTGCACATGCTCTGAGTGTTTTTGGAGAATGTGTGTCTAGAGGAGGCGATTGTTTCTACAGCAGCATGTGTGGATAGGTTCTAGCTGTGGTGTGTGTGTGTGTGTGTGTGAAAGGCAGGGTGGTGGTTCCCAGGAATTTGTGTGTGGTATGTGCACCCGGGATGGAGCATTCACAGGGTGCGGGCTATGGAGAGGTGTGTGGGGCTAGGCTGGACTGGCATGGAGTGAGTGTGCCCTGTCTGTATAGCTAGTGTGTGTGCGTAGAGGGCAGTGTGAGCATATGTAGGCTCTATAAGGCTAGTTGTGTAGTGTGTGTGTGTGTGTGCAGATGATGGAGTCTTCCCAGAGGGCGCCGGTGCAGTAAGGTACTGCATGGGGCAGTGTGTATATTGGAAGCATGAGCAATATGTCTGGGGGGTTGTGCCAGGAGGGGGGAAGGAGTTGTGTGTGTGATTTATTCAGCCAGGCTGAAGGCAGGAAATACGAATATCTGGGTGCCAGGTGTCCTCAGTGTGCTCTGACTCTGGAGAGTTTCGGCAAGCGTTGAGATGCTATGCCTAGATCGGGGGTAGGAGCCAAGGCACAGCTGAGGATCATGAAGGCTGCCAGTTGCATGGTCTGGGATGAGGGATTTCCATTCCCAAACATTACCCCTCTCCTAACTGGGCTCCTTTCTCACCCTCTAAACTCAAGGAGGCGCCTGAAACTCCTCGTCAGGTCATGCTGGCATTGCCACAGTGCGGATGGCACTGCGTATTATAAATCAGTTCTCAATGCAGGAGGAGGCCCCCCCTCACCAAGGCTAGAATGGTACTGGGGGAGGCCTGTGACCTGACCTGAAGTTAGGCAGGGGCAGGGGCAGTGGCTGCTTAGTGGTATCACTGGGGAAAAGGCAAAAAAGTTGGACCCTGCCAGTATTTGGCCGCTACTCCCAAATTCCACTGCCTAAAGGGAGAACAAGTCTAGTCGCTGCTATGGGGGTGGGGAAGGGATCATACACACCCCCAGATCCTGATGCAACAGATCAGCTCTGGAGAACCCGGTATCCCCCTGGATTCAGATAATTTTGGGCCCCTGTCCCTCTAATTCTGTCCCCTACTTATACTGGTCTTACAGGGCTTACTGTTGCAGCAGGGCAGCAAATGCCCTGATCCAGGGGCGCTGGGACACTTTGGTTCAATGGCTCTCAGCCCTCCCTCTAGACAAACTGGAAACCCCGTGTCATGGAAACCACTTCAAGCCCGGGGGTGCTGTAACACCCCTAGCTCCAGCACCCGTGACCCGATCTGGCACCTGGATAACCCCACCAGATCCAGACAGTCCCTGGGCCCGCACATTCTGCTGGCGAAAGAGGGAACAAGTCAAACTACCCTCTGCTTCGGGGAGGGGGGGGGGTCCACTGCCAATGCACCGCGGTGCCACCGCGCTACCACCCCCCAGCTCTGCCCCCCCCCCCCCCCATTGCCCTGCTCAACTACTCAGCGCTGCCAGACCAGGGGAAACTGCCTCTGTGGCGAGCCCAGGCAGCCGAAAGTTGGCCGGGTAGCGGCCCCAGCTGGGCGCGCTGGCAGCGGGCGAGGCGTGGGGGCGGCCGGGGCTGTGCCGGCGGGGAGGAGACGCAGCGCTGCCTGCCCCTGTGCGGGGCCGGGCTCTGCCCCGGCGGTAGGACCAGGAGCCGGGAGCGGGGGGGTGGGTTTGTGGCGCGGGCGCACGGAGGTTTGACATTTTCAGGTGCAAGGGGAGTGGCTGGGGCTGTTCCCTATTTAGCCAGCGGGACGTGGGGAGCGGGGCAGGGAGCCGGCAGCGGTTCCCCAGTCCCTGTAGCGCCCCTGCCAGGGACCCCTGGGCGGTGGGTGGCCCGGGCACTGGGCACTTGTCCCGCGCCTCACCTAGGCAGGGGGTGCGGCCGCAGCGGGGCTCGGGCAGCCGGTGCTCCCGGGGGGGGGAAGCTGGCTCGGAGTTTGTGACTCCGTCCCGTGCAGCCGCGCGGGATCCCGGCTCATGTGCAGCCTTATTACGGCTTCTCCTGCACCGCCGGGCCGGTGCGCACCGAGTCGCCTCCAGTGGGAAGTGCACTTCCGTTATCTCCTTCTCCCCCACCCCCCTCCGCCGCTCCCCCTCCTGAGCTCTCTTTCTGGGGGTTCCAGGCGAGGATGAACAAACCGATCCAGCCCGAGCGCAGAGTGTCGGCGGTGGCTCCCGCGCAGGACTGCTCCGGCCAGCCGCCGCCGAGGAAGGATGTGGAGCTGCTTCTGGTGAAGGAGCAGAATGGGGTCCAATACACCAGCAGCAGCCTCTTGCCGGCCGCCTCCAGCCTCCACTACACCGCCGAGGGGCAGCCGGAGAGGGAGACCTGGGGCAAGAAGATCGACTTCCTTCTCTCGGTCATTGGATTCGCTGTGGACCTGGCCAATGTCTGGAGATTTCCCTACCTCTGCTACAAAAATGGAGGGGGTAAGAGCACAATTTTACTGGGTCTTTCCCATCCCCAGGGCTGGAGCTTTTGCAGACCGTAGTGCTGTATTCACTTCCCAGAGTTTCCAGCCTTTTTTTTTTGTATTGCAGACTGGCTGAAATCCTAGCTGCGCGGGGTCTCTCTAGCCTCTCCGTAATGATCTGTAGTCAGTGTCACTGGTTAATAGCTATAGGGCACTAGGGCAGGGAGCACTCCCTCATCCACCCTAGAAACTCTCTTCCCTTCCTAGTAGTCTGCAGAACATGGTTCAGAGCTCCCTTGCCGTTTATTCCACTGAAATCGATCGGATAAGAATTACACACACACCCCTCTGAGTAAAAGTTTTGAACTGATGCTACTACTTTTGGCAGCCACTTTAGTCTTTTAGAGCTGCTTGTGTGTCAGACTGCTTGTTTTGCAAAAGATCTGAGTGGAGTGTATGGGGAAAATACCTTTGAACAGTAAAAGAGCATCTGGAAAAGTTGTAGCTTGGCCAGTGAAAAGTTTCTGAGGGAGACACAGCTTTTGTTTTGGATGTGATTTCCACTAGCGAGTATGCAGTCTGAGGTTTTTTTGGTTTTGTTTTGTCTCCAATGGGCAGAAGACTTGTCAAAAAATGAAAACCCCTTCTGCACATCCAAAAACAAGCCAAAAAGCCCCACCTTAATTATATTCAATTCAAGTAATCTAGCACATCTATAGCAAGACCTTAAACCCAATGAGGCCTCTTTCATCCCTGTGAAATTTAAGGTGCTGCTGGTGGTGATGCCTCCCCTCCCCCCCCCACACACACACACTGTGCAATGGAGTAACACCATCTGCAGGTGCCTACAAATCACACATAGAACAGACCCCATCTACCAGATGGAAGACTGTTTGCCTGAACGTTCAATGCTCTGGGTAGAAGGCTAGCTGGATAGAAAGCATGTACTGTGAGACACAGCTATTTATGTCTCGGTGATGTGGTTGCTTGGTGATAAAGACTAACGGTTTCACATTCGTAGCATAAAGTCTTTCTTTCCTATGAGAAAATACATGGTGCAGGAAAATCCCACTCAACGTAGATAGCTGAAACTGAGTTGTACGGTAGGTCATTGCACCTTCACTGTCTCTTCCTTAAAACTTAAACTGATAGCAGTAAGGGCTGGTACTTAAAAACTTAGCCTGCTTTAATACCACCAAATATTTGGAGGGGTGGGGAGATCAGGTAAACCATACTCCTGCTACCCCTACAGATGTGTGCCAGCTGTTCAGCAACTGAAAAAAATAACCCCCAAATATACTTTGATTCAATCCAAGATAGCTCAGACACTCCAAGATACTGTGGTGCCATGCACTGCCCCTTTGTAAGGAGACAGGTAGGTGACCCCTGAGATCTATTGCAGGTGTATCAACATCACTATCCATGCCATTCTACCTGTATGCACCATTTGGAGAGCTTCTGTTTACTTGACATTCAGTGAACAGATTGTATTTTATTTTCAGGGAGAGAGAGGTATAGTCCCCCTATTTCACTGTAGAGTAACAGAAAGAGGTAAAGTCTACAATGGTCAAACTCATTGCATTCCCCCCATGATTCTGAGTCACTTCCAGTCAGATTCTTCCCCTTTTCCTTAGTAGTCTGCTACTAGCTCAGGCACGGGAGACAGGATTCTGCATCTTCCTGTGTGTTCTGTGAGCTTTCTGTTAGCTGTTTATTGTAACTTCAGCCAGGGCAATGTAGACACAGCTAGCATGATTTTCTGGAAAAAAGTGTGAGATGGCAGCTGGTATTTGCCTGGCTTTTTAGAGGATTCTTTCTACTGGACTGAAAACTCCCACATGACCCTCTGATTTAGCTTTTGGGGTATATAATTTTAAGAAGTCAACCTTGCTGTTGAACTCTCTGGAAATATACACGGATGGCAGACAGAGCTAGTGTACTCTCCCATAGAGCACCCTGCAACCTGCCACTCGGAAGCTTTCGCTCTTCCCACCAGCAGCAAAGTGAAATCAGGGTTATTGCTGAGAGGCCTCTGAATGTTAGGCGCACCCCCAGTGCTAATAGATTCTTCAGAAACTCAGAGCGGCTCTGCTCATTGGTTTGGAGACTGTAAACACTATTTTGTTGCCTCTGCTCCTCCACCTTCCTCCCTCACAGTCAGCCTTCCCTTTTCCCTTAACACATTCTTAGCAGGACAGCTCCTTCTGGCCCTTGAGGAGGTTTGTTTTTATTGAGGAGGAAAGGATGGGTTGTCATTAATGCTCACGAGTGTCAGCTTCTGAGAGGAGGGCAGTCACTTAGCCAGGGCTTTTCTTTAAGAGCTGTTCTCAGCATGGAAGATAACCAGGGAAGGGCTGCCTCAGAGCTTGGTTAAACTGCAGGGCATAATCACAACTAGATATTGAACATGGCTTGTCCGGATCTATGCCGATTGCTAAACCATGGTCAGCAGTGTGTCAGCTAATAGTGTTCAGACATGGCACCGTTTCCTAGTACAGATCAGGCCTGAGGAGTGGGAAACAGAACCACAGAGTGGGCTTGGCTACTACCTTCTATCTAGTCGCACATGACTACAATTATCTCTCTGGTATCTGAATGCTTTTCCATCATCCACCACCATGTTTGATATAGGCATTGGGCTTGCTTGGTGAGGAAGTAGAAGTCTCTGTCTCAGCGAGTTGGGCAGAGGAGACTAAGGGTGAGTGAACCTGCTTTAGGTAGTTTCAAGCCAGCTCAATACTTTGCCGGGGTGAAGTTTGGCTGCACATTTGGACATAGGAGGGTTCTGATTCTACAGGTGTTTTTCCTGCAGCAGCAGAGGTGCTGAGGAGTGCAACTCAATGCAGAGAAGAGGAATGCCTTCTGGGTTTCACTCCCTTCTCTCCATCCCGGAGAACCACAGGTGTTCTCAAAGGCTTGATTTGCAAATACAGCAGCGCCTGTGAAAGTTGCTATTGTAGGCGCAAAACAATGGCAACACTGCTTTTCTCACTGCTGCAGAAGAGAACCCCACGAGCATTCAAGTGAGTTTTGCTGACTCAAAGTTAGTAAAGAGTTTGATCAGGGAGTGTGTGTATATATATATATATATATATATATATATATATATATATATAGGGTGACCAGATGTCCTGATTTTATAGGGACAGTCCCGATATTTGGGGTTTTGTCTTATATAGGTGTCTATTACCCCCCACCCCCCGTCCTGATTTTTCACACTTGCTGTCTGGTCACCCTAAGAATATAACTGCTGACTTACACATCCATTCAGGAGATGTCACAGGCAGACAGACACACACAAAATGTGATTCGAAAAGCAACAAAAAAAGAAGTGATACAGTTATCAAAGTAGCTTTTGGTTTGGCTGCTCAGTTAGACAGAGGTGCAGTATCCGCTTGGATTCCTGGTGTTGGCAACGGCACCAATTGAATAGAATGTTCAGAGACTTTTTTAAAATAAATTAAAAAAAAAAATCATTCAGGGTTTCTGTTCTCCTTTTTGATGTTTGTAAGGGTCTTCTTAAAGGACCTGACTGTACAGGGGAAAGAGTGAAACTTTCTATATATAAAGTGTGCTGAGATCTACAAAGTAAACAAACAAAGAGCTAGGGCCGGTTATAGCACTTGTAGACATATGTGATTAAGGCTGATGTTCCTATAGTCAAGGGAGTGGCCTGCAACAAGTTCTCTCAAATGCCAAGACAGAACTAACCACTCTGTTTTTCTTCTTATGGCTACATGTGATTTTTAGATTCAGAGTACTGTGATATATTGGTGAACAGAATTATATTCCCATTCCAAAATCTATAATCAATAAGGCAATATTAGGGGCTCACTGCACACAGGAACATCCAAGCACACGAAAGATCCTTCCTGAAAGTGTTATGTGGAAGAAAATCTCCCTATTACAATGGGAAGGGGGGATGCTGTAGGAGTGCTGTCTGGGTTCCTGTGTTACTCTGAATAGGTTAGACATTGTCAATGAAAACACTGCACACTAGAGCCTTTCCAGGCTTGTAAAGATTAAGTTGTTCATGATGTCAAAGTGAGAGCACTTGTAGGAAGCAACATGCTTTTTACAGGAGGGAAGTCTGAATACTCACCAGACTCACCTCATTCAAAGCTGAACGTTACAAGGATGTGTATGTATATACATATCCACCTCTTATAAGCCAAATCCTTGAGTTCCTTTGTCAGGCAAACGCCAGGGGCTTTCCTGTGTAAGAATTGGAGATATGGCCCTTTGGGGCTAGAACCTAAAGTTCCAGACAAAGACAATTTCCATTAGCTTGAATGGGAATAGTGCACATGCAAGGAGTGCGGGGTCATACCATTGGTTGCTAGTTTGTCACAATGTGCAAGTTCATAAACTGCATCACTGGTGTTAGAAACTGATTTTTTATTTTTATTTTTACCAGCTCCCAATAAAATAACAACAACAAAGAGTAAGAAGGACCCAGCTATTCATTTAAGATTCTAATATTAATTTAGAATCTTAAATGAATAGCTAGAAACATCTGTGTTTTTGGCATATCTTGCTGAGTTACTCCAATGGGATTTCTGCACATAGAGATAGAATGTAACCCTGCCTGAGCAACTGTAGCTCTCAAAAATATCCTTCAACAATTCATTAAAAAGCAAAGCAAAATGAAAAAAAAAACTTTGAGATTTAAAAAGTTTGAGTGTTCATTTTTATTTTGCTTACCTGTGGTCACTGAGTTTGCTTATCTTGCAGGAGAAGACAGCATTCAATGTCTGCCATAGTTACAGTTTGAAACAGGTCAACGATTTATTGAAGAGGAAACTTTCAGTTCAAATATACTGGTCCTGATCCGGCTCTCATTGATTTCACTGAGTGCAGGAGTAAGGCCACTGTATATTATTCTAAGCTAATTTATTCTGTGACCGCGAAAATTACATACAGATACTGCAGCTTCTGGGAGACAGACAAAATTATACTCTAGAGCTGGGAGGTCCTTAAATGTGTCCAAACTGGTTTGGACTATCAGCAGTTATT